AAAAATCATTTCTCACGTTTGTGTTAGTTACACCAGTGGTGGAAAGACTGGAACAAGCCAGGGATAGCAGTTTTATGAATTATGAGACATGAGAAACATTTGATTGTTGGGAGCAATGCTCCACTGGTAAATACCCATGCAATCATGTGGAAATTCTGAAAAACAATTAACTCTGTCACTGTTCATGCTGTTTTGTGTGTAATTTTCAAGAAATCAGCAGTGACTGAAGGACTTGATGGTTTCCATGGGCCAACCCTAACCGAGCTTAACCCTAACGGAGGCCAACCCTAATGACGGCTTACCCTAACGGAGGCCAACCCTAATTATGAAGGGTAACCCTAACAGGGCCCAAACCAAGGGTGGGGGTACTTCCTTGATGGTCAAGTACAGCCCGCGCACCAGCTGACCAAGCTGTGGATATATGCGCAGGTGACTGAAAGTTCTTGAAACACTCTCCTTGGTGGTTTGTTCCACTCTTGTGTTGGAAGCCTAGTGCCCTATTTTGGGCTCAGGTTTTCAACTCTTGGGCTGGAGCGTGTCAACTACGTAGAGCTTTCATGTCAAAGCATGCATGGCTGGAGTTTCATAATTTTCTTGTATTTGATCTCTGCTGTTGGTAGTGTATGGCCTTAAAGGGGGGTGCTAGTTGAAGCTTTTCATGGGGAAAGGTGCAATTTTCAAATGCTGATTGCACATTCTTCTGTTTGCACTATAGTAGAAGTGTACATGATGTACAGTGTATGTATTGGCAGTTTGTGCACATTTGCTATTGGCTGGCCTTGATTATTTACTCCCCATAGCACAGCCAGTGGACTTTTTTTTCCAATTTATTTTCAAAAATGGAGATTTTTGGAGCATTCTCAACCATTCAGAATTGTTTCTGTGTCAGACTGTCACAAGGGGTGTTATATAAAGGGTGCAGTGTCCCAATTCAAGGAAAATTCTCCGCCAGGCCGAGGCGCACAAAAAGTACCCCCAGAGATTGTTTCGAAAAGAGGGGTCTGTTTGGGCCAAGAAATGGTGGGATTGTGTCAGTATGGCCCAGGGTCATCTCTGTAGATTCAGGGGCACCCAACTGGGGGCAAAGCAGACAACGGGATTGAAAATTAGTCAGCCAGGAAAATAATGAAAGGCGCCACCTTGCGGCGCACACGCTTATACTTGATCGGGACAACCTGTCGATGACGTGAATATCGCCAGGCCGCATATCGCATGCAGCATACAGTACAGGGAGCTGGGGCCGGTCTTGGATCCATAAAAATATTGCGTTGAAGAGTTTGGGCCATGGTCGAAGAGAGGTAGGTACTGTACATGTATATGTATGTAGGAATTTGCCACTTTCTATTCCATTCAAGCTTGTCTATTTTGAGATATTGCACGGTATAAGATCCCTTTTTTGGAGACTGACCAGCTGACTAAGGCCGTTTGCACGTACGCCGAAATTCCACCTCAGATTTGGACACTTTAACCATGGAGCTATAAAAAACTGAAGTGTTGCAAGCTTATTCATGTCGGCAAAAATCCGTACTCGTGCGCCACCTTCCCCAAACTGTTTTGTTTACTATAATTTTCAATTTATAATTTATGAAACGCTTAGCATGCTTAGGCATGCTTATTTATTCATAATAATAATAGGCATAGGCCTGCATGTACAAATTTGATCCGTAGGCCAAGGCCCATGCGTACGCGTGTTTGGAAGTTGAGAGTGCCATACATGTATGTTTGGATGAATTGGGGAGTATTTTATTCGCTATAGTAATAATAGTATACTTCACGCGATATTGATGAAACAGAGGCCATTATGATTGTCACTTTGAGGTTCATTACCTTTAGCATTTTTTTATCCCCCTTTCCCCTTAATCCGGCATTCATTACCTTTAGCATCCTCTTCCCTATTTCATGGAGGAATAAAAATGAGATATATGCAACCATCATATGAAGCCAAACCACGGTGGTTGTGTTTGTATTGCGCATGCCCAATCTGTATTAGACTCGCATTGCAGCCGTTCATCGTTATATCAACAGTAAAAACACCGTCAACCGGTGTGAATTGGGGTAGTCAAGCGATTACAGAATGATGCTTTGTGATGCATGAGGTGTGGGTTCGAATCCTGGGTCGAAATTGTGGGCAGGGAGGTTTTTTAAAGGAAAATAAAGCCTGAATGCTATTGGAGCCTAATTTCACACGTGAAGTTTTTATGGTTGGTTGAGCATCTACATGTAGATGTCATGCATTGTGCATGGTTGTGAACCGTGGTTTGGCTTCATACATGTACGTGTGATTGTATACAGTATTCTCATAAAAATTAGCGAATGTAGTTGGGTACGATTCCTTGACTTGGATGGAGATTTGTTTTGATGAATCCCAATTGCCTGAGTCAGGTAACCAGACGAAAAACAAAATGGTGTGATTCGACTGAATGGTTGCCATTTGCCCAACTCAGGTTAGAAATTTGAAGTTTTTTTGCTTAAATATTGTCAAAATTTACCTAAACTAGGCCTGTCTGGATTGATTAATGGTTCCTTAAAGTCAAAATGTTAGTTTGAGAAAGTGGACTTTGTATCCTTATCATAGGAACAGAACGCTCTTTCCAGTTCTCCCTTTCTCGAAATTCATATGCAATAATTACACCCCCCCCCCTTTTTTCCCTCTTCATGCCTGGCCAGTCCTCTCCAAGGCTCTCCCCTTGCTTTCTTGCCTGTATCCTAGGTTGAATGTTCTCATCTTACTGCTTCTTTTTATAATTTTAGTGTCTTTTCTTGGTGCTCTTTTGTTAAACTGTGCAATTGGTCTATCAGTAAACTTCTCCGGCCTTGGTTTATAATGTTAATTCTTTCTGAGCCTTTGATATATATTAAACAATTATTTGATGTCAATAAAGGTATTTCAAACACTGTTCCTATCATAAGGGAACAAATTCTACGTTTTTTAGATAACTTGATCCAAACTACATGTAGTTGCTGATGATAGAAGAATATGGCTGCGTAGCACCGTGATCAGATTATCGACAAGAATATCAAATCAGTGCTCTGAAATATGTGATTGCCGAGCTAGCTTTCAGTAACTGAGTACCTTCTTCGGGGCAAGCAGATTCAGTTGATGATGATGTTTCCTTTCATATCAGAAAGAAAAGAGAACAGGGCTTTTGGTTTTGAAAGAAATTAATGGGTTAAAAGGCAGCGTACACATACATGATCGCCCAGAGGAAAGCCATGAACGACAAATAAGCGAATGAAGTCTTGTTCCTTGACCTGGATTAAAATTTGTTTTGATGAATCCAAACAGCCAGGGTCGGGTAACCAGACGAAAAACAAAGTGGCATCATTCGACTGAGTGGTTGGCTTTTGTTAAACTCGGGTTAGAAATTTGAAGTTTTCTTGCTTAAATCTACCTACATGTAAACTAGGCCTGTCTGGATTGAGTAATGGTTCCCCTACGTGATACAACAAATTACTAGTTGTACTAAAATTTAGTATTCAGCCCTGTCGCTTGTAAGAGGACATGACTTTATTGTTCTGTGAAGCCATAAGATACAACAGATAAGACAGTGTACCATACAGTCAGTGACAGTGCTGTGGCACTGTGAATGCATGGCTTTATTGTTCTCTGTACAAGTAACAATGGAAGTAACCTAGCCAGAAGTACATGTAGTAATCTGTAGTGCTAGGTCCTTCAGGCTCAGACTACTACATGTACTTAGGGACGGCGACCATTTAGACCCGGTTTGAAAAGGGCCCCCTCTCCCGTAGCCCACCTGGTATAATGCCTGCCCAGTATTCAGGCTACTCCAGGCCCATATAAGGCCTGTCTGCACATTGGCATTTCAAAGTCCCTGATGAAAGGCTTCCCCCAACATACTTGCACAGATGAATAGGGGTCTAAGCGGATTAGTGTAAACATTGTATAGAGCTGAAGGATTAAACCCACAAGCAGGTTCCTTCTGGGATAGATTACATGTACCAGTACTTGCAAACAATAGACCCCAGGATGAAGAAGTTCGAGATCAACAACCAGTCCAGCATCCCAGGCAGGTAGCCAGGCCAGTATAAAAGGGGTTTTTGCAACCCGGTGAGCTTAGGGGGGGGGCCCTTTTCAAACCGGGTCCTTAGTATTTTGTAGTACTGTGTAGTGTAAGCCAAACAATGTGCTTGGCAGTTAGGGTTAAGTTTAAAACGTTAGTTTGAGAAAGAGGACTTAGTTTCCTTATTGGAACATGGTGCTAATGATAATGCTGTTACTTTGAGAAGCAAACATGCACACCATAGCGTTGTAACGGGCCGATCGCTACAGGTTGTTTTAGGTTGTTCCTGGAGACAGACAGTCCACACAATAATCCACAGGATTAGGCGGATTTAATAACAAAAACATAATGTAACACAACTTTAATGATCTCACCACATTTCAGGACGCCATTTCATGAAAACCCTGATGACCTATCCCATCATGCTTTTTCCTATCATGCAGTATGGTGTCCTAGAACAGACATATACATTTGCAAGCTATACACTACATTTGTATGAATGTGTGTGCATACCAATCCGCTTTTTTTATGACCAGTTTTTATGACGTTTTTCCTTCTTTCTTTCCTGTCAATGAAAGCCTTACCCCCAGAACTGGGGGGTCCAACGTCCACCCATGTGTGGGAGCGGGGCCTACGTCGGACCCCCCACTGCCACAGTTCTGGGGGTAATGAAAGCCTTACCCAAGTTGCTTCCATTCCAATGATCAATCATACCGGCAGCTTGGCCTTAATTTGATGGGGTCAAGAAAACAAAAGGAAAAGAGATGTGTTGCAATTGGTGGCTCAATTGCAGAATACCCCACCACCTTGCATGCTCATACTCAATAGCCAGGTACAAGTCAACGTGTGACACTCTTCTCAAGGAATTTTCAACTTGTACCCACGTAACGAGTCATTCCAGGGGTCGTTCTTTGGAGTGGTGGGATATTCTGCTATTGCTCCCATCTAGATACCGGTAGGCTGGAGTGCCCTTCGGAGTGCTCAACGCAGGCCCTCTATTGAGATGCTGCTGATTTTTTGCAGTGTGGATGGGCAAAATGCTCAAGAATTCCACCATTTTGATGAGGATACAGTACATGAACATGTGTAAAGTGAATAAATCAGTTCTGGAAGTAGCACAGGGGCATTAGTGATATCTGTACGGTGTATATGTCAGGTATACGTGTATATATATAACTCTTTCCATGATTTCTTTCAATCTTATGGATCGCTTGATCTTATGAGCTGAAATTGCACCAGTACGTTCACGGCATCAAATTAAGGCCAGTTGGTAATTTATAGGTACAGATACATGTACATGTACATGTAGATCAGTTGTCAGCTCAAATGTTTGTGTAAACAGAAGTTTGTCATGTTTTTAAGAAATTATGGATTCATTTGCCACATTCTGCTTATGTTTCATGTTCATTGTTCTTTGTTTTTTCAGAGGTAAAAATTGATAAATCTGGAGCACTTGTGAAGCTGGAATCTGGAACTTTTTTCTTGTGGCAATGAGAAGTTTGGTTATCAGTATGGTTCATCACATGAAGACACAAGTACCTGTGTACATTTATTCACTGATGTCAGTATTAAGTAAGTATGTATTTTCCCTTTCAAAATGTACACTGTAAACCGGTACGTGATGTACATGTACACTGTAGATGAGTTGTCAGGTACCTTTCATTTCGTGCATAAGCCCCCAAAAATTGAGATTTTGGAGGATAAAGGATGAATGCAGTTTTTGAAGCTGGGCAATTGAAGGAATTTGGAGGATTAAGGATGTGCGCTAGTATAATGGACCTAGTGGGTTAGTTAGTTAATTGATTATAAATCGCTAAAAAATAAATCCCAACAGGTACAGTCTGAATTTACCTGTCAGAATCTACCAATAGAGTACATGTAAATGTCTGCCTCTGTTTCAGGGCCATTGTTTTGGCAAAGTGCCGACCACTTGGCAGGGAAAGCGTGAGCTCATGTATTGTCATGCTCTGGCAAATACATGTACATGTATACTTCACATTACAGTGATTCCTCAGTCTGAAAGGAATCAGCATGCAGTGTTCTGGCAGCAGGAAGGAGGGTAGCTGTCCTACAGACCTGAATTTGATTCTGGCCTGTTGCCTGCCTGTAAGAACACTACATGTACATCTTCTGAAGTGCAGGTCCAATCAGGTTAAAACTGTGAATGTGTTACTTGTTCAGTACAGGCAACAACTGCAGATCACTCCATACTGTATATCGGTGTCGTCACTTCGGTGGCTGTGGAAGCAAGTTAGTGTGTGGTCCAGTGATTCAGTATCAAACTGCGGATTGAATTAATTCTATTTGATTCCCACCCACTCCAACTTCATTTTTCGTATTAAGCCAAAAGAGTTCCCTGAAACAGCTACTGTAAGGGTTTGACTGCTGACAAACACAATGTTCATCTCATTAAATTCTGAATTTTCTACTGCAGCAACATGATGTTCACATTATGTACGTGTATGTACAGGGTATGGGATTTTTATAAAGATGCCTACTGCCTCTCACTCTCCCGACTCCCTCCCACTTTGTATGCATACATTTTTGAAAGATGTTCCTTACCACAGTTAGAATAAAATACAACATTAATAAATAGCCTTCCAAATCTTGAAACGTAGAAAAGCCAGTTGTTCTGTCAAGGACAGACAGTGCGTCTTGTTTACAAAATACATTTGGTCAATGTTATTGACAGTGCAGTTATTTTTCTTTTCCTCTAACTTTGTGTATTTTCTCCAGTGTACATCTCTGGACAACAGTTGACAGTTACAGCGGATTCAAGTGTTGCTGTCATTTCTGGTGGATCAGCTAATCTCACGTGTACATATGAGGTGCAAGGAACTTCTCTTGTCAGTCTTGAATGGAGAAAAGGTGCAACGTTTGCAAGTGGAACTCGAGTTGTCCGGTTTTTGAGACCTAATTTTGATGCAGTCTATGGCCCTGTTTATGGTCCACCTGTTTACACAGCTTACAGAGATGGTACCAACAGCTCAGGCATACTCACGTTACAAATTTCACCTGTCGTTTATAAGCCTAATGAGACTGAAATATACTGGTGTCGTGTCGTGGTAACTGGCGGAGTCATAGTAAAAGAAAGCTCAACTTCTCTAATCATCATAGGTACGGTAGGTGTTTCTGTTTATTACATAATATAGTATACATGTAGTTGTCATAAATTCATAAGATTTGCTGATTACGGATTGTAAGATCTAATGCAGCTTTCATTCCACTGACTTGTTCAAGTCAACAGTTTGTGAAAAATAGAGCAAAACACTGGTACTCTTGAAGTAAATCCCCGTGAACTACAGGGCCTTCATAAATCATACTACTACATGTACTTGAACAACACCCTCAGGGTCGGAAGAACTGGCATGACATGTTCTCTTTCCCTTTAAAAAAAGAGCAGTTTTCAAAGGCTAGGATTAACCAGTGAATAATTTACACCTTAGGGTAATGCGCTTCGTCGACAATGTACATGTGGCATTGTGGATTCATGAAAAAACTTCATCCTGGAATGAACTACATGTATGCTGACAACTCATGTCCATGACACTGAAAGTAAAGGCACGTGCCTGCACGATCATGCTTAACGACCACTCTTTCGTGTCAATTTACAGGTCAATGAAGGCATAAAGGCTCCATTCTTAGTTGACTAATAATCAGAGGCAAAGAGGGAACATTATTTAGAAACGTAGGAGATTTAACATCTGTAAATTGTCCTTTTTGGCAATAATGTTCTTGCTTTGCAAACAAAACCATCACCATTTCAACCATACTACATTGTATTATGATTTTGGGTGAATTTGTGTTTGAAACATGTTCGTGCTTAGAAAATCCTTCCCTAAAATAAATTTTAACTTCAAACAGATCCATTTTTTTTTTACAGCATGCGCCGGTAGCTACACACTCTCTGATTTCAGTTTACATTGCATTTGGTGAACTTCTGCCAGAACAATGAACAACTTTGCATGTACATGTACCGTACGTACAGGAACATGTACACATGTATGTATACATACACTGTACATGTATGTACATGTTACATACCGTACATGTACATGTAAGGGGAAAATTTCCTAGTTTAAGGAGAGTTTAAATCGCACCATGGAAAAACATTTTCTCAGTTACATTTGGGTCCCCATAATGTCTTTTGTCCCCAATTAATGTCTAATCTTTTAATACATGTGTAAATGTACATGCATTCAGAAAAGCAGTGATACTTATATGTACATGTACATGTCATGCATGTACCAGATACAAAATTTCAATGTGTAAGAGTGTAATATAAAGTTTTTCTCACCAATACGAATGATGTCTTGAACTTGTGTATTGTGGGTTTACTACTACTCTAGTTGAAGTTAAAACGACTTTCAAAGTACACATGTACATGTACAGCACCAGTGTGATGCACATTCTACATGACCTTCACCGACTACCCCAGCAGAAGTGTATGTACGGTACATACAAGTTCAACAGAATAACTAATCTATCTTCAAAGAAATATTTTGGGGACAGAAAGACAACTTTAATTCTGAATGTTTTAGTCATTACTCATTAGAGCATACTTTGCAAGCTCCTATTGTGCTATATGATACATGTACAATTGAACATAAATTATAGAAGTTGATTAACCCTAACAGTCCCAAATCCTCTAATTTCAATATGAATTTACATACACCCTAGGGGGTTAGGGTTAAGTTCTAGCAAGCTTCAACACCTCCCCTAGATCACCCAGAAACAAACCGACAAAGGAGAAACTGATTGCTTACACCATGTACACTGAGTTGCCAGGTATTTTGTATGAGGACTTACATGTACATCAGTACATGTAGAAGTGCCAGAAGCACAAGACTTGGTGGAAAGCTGCATCTGTCATTTACAGTAGCAATTCAGCATATTTGATTTTTTTACATGTACACAGACAAGTTTCAAAAGACCTTAATTTTATGTCTGGAAGAAACCCATCGATTACCTTGCTTTTGCATAAAAAGACATGTACATGTACTCTGCTGTCTCTAAGACTGAACCTGATCACGATTAAATTGCTTGACAACTCGAAAGACTGCAAAATGCAAGGTGTTTGCAAAGTGCAAACTTCAAACTTGAAACGTTTGAAAAATGTGTTAGTTGCCTGCACGGCCAGCCCCAGCATACCGCATGCATGCATTGGTTCATTGATGTCTACATTGTGTAGTATGTACATGTAAGAACATGCAAAAACTTACTAAATATACTTCCAGCTAACAGGGCATTATTACATGTACATACATGTACTTCATGTTTTCAACCTTGGATTAACCAGTGTGCATGTGCAAAGGACATGTATGACTGTGCAATCGTTGTCATAAGCCCTGGGGGGGGGCAAAAACTGTGGTGCATACATGTACGTACTACACAGTGAACCAATGCATGCATTTTGTGTGTGCTGGGGCTGGCCGTGCAGGCAACTAACACGTTTTTCCAACATTACAAGTTTGAAGTTTGCACTTTTCTCCTACATGTACATATATTTATACATGTACATCTCAAAAATGTCAAACCGTCAGTGACATGCTGCTAACATGATGATAACTTACTGATCCTTTTGACTGTGTTTTGTACTGTAAACAGTTTGGTTTCTCTATTTGTCAATACAGTTGTCCCAACGACGATAACATTATTTGATACAAGTGCCCATTATCCTAACACTGGTGGCAAAGCTGTTTTGGTAGAAGGGAAGGATCGTCTGTTTACATGCCATGTACCATACATCAAACCAGCAGCGTCATTCACATGGACTGTTGGAGGAGGTACAAGTAGCATTACACCCAGAAGTCCAGAGGTTGTTAACGGAACAGATGGATTATTCAACAGCACCAGTGTGGCAACCTTATCACCAAGATGGAATCCTCACGAACAGGTGTTAATGTGTCAGGCTTCCAACTTAGATAACCATCTTGGTTTGAGTGTCAATGTGACTCTCGATGTTAAAGGTACATGTATGGAACTTTAACGTGCTTGGTATTGAAAGACATGTACATGTGTGTGTGACGTATTCACTTCGGTACTTTCTTGCTTACAATTATGTATGGATCCGCCTAAAGTTATTAATGGGAGTAACTTAAGTAAGTTCATCTAGGGCAACATCCGGTTTGCAAGCTCAATTAAAAAATGTAAGCCGTGGAAGGAGGAAATGGCATGTATACCATTCACACTACAGGCTTTTTCCCAAAGGAAAGCATATTCTCGATTACAGTTGTCACACCTCAGAATGTTCATCAACAAAGTGACTACAATTGTTTGTTTTAGCATTGTACAGGACTCTTATTTTTGTGTCTCATTTTTAAATCACATGATCACATACGTGCATGTACACTGTACAGCACATGGTTTGAGGTGAACAGTGGCCTATTGATCATTCAACTGAAATAAACCATATATATACAGTGTATTTGTTCTACTGTACCTCTTGTCATGTATGTATATCTAGACGGCTGGTCACCAGGGCTAACTTGAACCACAGAGACCAGGGACCATGGCCCATTGGCCAGGGGCTGTAGGTGAAATTTTGAGAAGATTATGCATTCACTCATCGTACATTTAAACCTGTACATGAGTGTACCGTTACATATGTAGATTGCACAAATAACTTGGGTTTAAAGCTGATTTTTGGATACCGTACTTTTGACAAATTATTTCACTTGTACCGGTAATATTTCTCTGCATTTGGTTAAGAATATACAATACACATACATGTGTAAATATGTACATACATGTACACACTGTTTTCTTTCGTGAGCAGTGCCACCAAAGAATTCGACCATGTCGCTCTCAAAACCAAGTGGTGCATTCTCCCCTGGAGGCACAGCCAGTGTAGACCAAGATGCATGTCATGTCTTCACCTGTCAGGCACAGTCTAGACCAGCAGCCACCATTCAGTGGGATCTTGGTTCCAATAGCTACCAGCAGAGTACTATCAGCCCTGCCACTGGAGGACCCGGTGATGGTTTGGTTTATACAACCAGCATGTGGACATTTACACCTGGCCGAGACAATCACAGACAGCAGGTGAAGTGTGAGGCCAATACTACAGAGTCACAGCCACCGTACCCATCAGTCATGGTCACACTGGATGTCAACGGTATGTATACTTTGAGAGTGGTTTTTTACAATTCCGTACTATAATTGAAAACCCAGTTGTGTAATTAAAGTAATTCGTGAGAACATTACCTATGTTGCCAATAATTTTGTTTGTCATTGTGTCAGTCGGTCAAGTCTTCCATCACTTACCAACTGTTGGTACATGTACATTTCCTCCAAAACAACCCTACTCATGGTCCCTTACATGTATGTTACTTGTCAGACTCGAGGGCCTCTGCTGGGTTGGGTTAAGCATGTAGGTGACTCCACTGGCTGTGGAAAGCTTTCATTAACTGGTTAAAGCTGGCTGGCCTCTTGGAAAATCACACCACATTTTCTGTTCCAGGTGAAAAAGTATGTTCTTGTGCTAATCTCAACAAGACCTGTAAAAAATGCTACGCTTTCAATGATCTAATTGTTTTCCGTCTCTAGTATGGAGTGTCAAAGAGGCAAAAACTTGGCGGCAACACATCAGTTGTTCTTCAACATCAATCGATCGATCTTCTACATCGATCGATCATTCCCTACATTGATCGATCGCTCCCTACATCGATCTCTTTTGATCGATGAAGAAAGAGCGATGAAAATAGAGCGATGGAAAAAGAGCGATGAAGCTACATTGATGCCAACGTTACACAACCCCCCGTCCAGTACCAAAGCACATGTTCCCTGTAATCATAGCCCACTAGCACTCAAGGCCACCCGCGTGTTCATCACCCGTCAGTCTCCTCTGAGTCATTAAATTGAGTTGTCAGGCGAGTGTGTTTATCTGGTTTAAACCACTACAAGAATATCATTTCTATTTCTCTTGGATGGGATGCCAGTTGTTATGGGTCACTCCCTATAGCCACCATAGGCACCCATATTTACTCCAGGTAGATACAAATTTTATTTCCACAGTGTGAGCTCCGAAGTCATATAAAGTGAAAACCACCTTGGATAGCGGAAGGAATCTATAATTCAACCAGAGAAAAATAATTTGTATAAATATATCTTCAGAATCCTACAGCTTATAATAAATCTGCCTACGTAAAGTTTAAAAACAACTTAACATGTCTTGTAAGAATGGCAAACAAAACTTACAAAGGTCTTAATAAAGAGAAACATAATGTCAAAGATACACAGGAGCTTATTAATTCATTGCTCGGTAAAACGAACAGAAGGTTAAACAAAATCCGCACTATTATATGCAAAATGATGCTAAATTGATTTTGACACTGATATTGCTTACGCTTTCAGTGATTATTTCATTAACATTGGCAAGAAAATAGCAAGTAAACTTCCTCAATCAAGCAATTCATTTGAACACTGTCTTGATGAAAGATTTGCACATTCTTTATTTTTCGCTCCTGTTAGCAAAGCAGATGTAGCACTTACTATTTCAAAACCTACATTTTGTACTTTATTATTTGAATAATGAAAATCAGATCATATAATCATGCCAATCTGAATATTCTTTAAAGGTCTGGTCTCAACATCTAGCTCATCTATCTTTAACTGTTGTCTATCCCGCCAGTGTATCATAATGTGTTGTCTCACGTCTCCTGTCTTATGTTTCATGTCCAGTTGGAACCATTGTTCGTTAAATAGGGTTAGCCAAAAAGCATATGCTTCTTTTTTTCCCCTGCATGTTGGTAATAATTTAGACTATGTACAATTATCAAACTTAATACACTAGTTCCCATTACTTGTTGTATCAAATTTCACTATATATGTGTGATTTTGATGTACATGTACTTGGGATTCCCAAAAAGTAAGCTCAATTATAATTGTCCTTCCTCCATGATTACATTGTGATACATAGAAATTAATCCTTAGCCAATGGAAATTACACTGTTACATTCAGTACATTTATAGCCATGGCCGTAGATGAAATAATTTCCTTGCAGCAGGAGGGTTTCACGCAATTTTCAGTATAATTTCCTTTGGCACTGAATTTCATGGGGGTTGACTTTTTGAGTTTGGAAAATAAAGTTCAAGTCAATATTCAATATAAGAATGGGTGTCCACAGTGGCTATAGGGAGCGACCCATAATGAACTGGCATCCTATCTAGGGTAAAATAAAAATATTCTCAGTGGTTTCATGACATCCACAGCCTAACAACTCAATTGGCTCAGAACCAGACTGACAGGTACTGAACACGGGTGGCCTTGAGTGCTGATGGGCTATTGTTACAGGGAACACTTGCTTTGTTTGATACTGGAAGGGGTTGGGTAACGTTGGCATCAATGTAGCTTCATCAGTCTTTCTTCATCGGTCTTTCTTCATCGCACTTTTGTCATCGCTCTTTTTTCATCGCTCTTTCTTCATCGATCAAAAGAGATCGATGTAGGGGAACGATCGATCGATGTAGAAGAACGATTGATCGATGTAGAAGAACGATCGATCGATGTAGAAGAACGATCGATCAATGTAGAAGAACGATCGATCGATGTAGAACAATTGATCGATGTTGAAGAACGACCTATGTGTTGCCGCCAAGTGTTTTGCCTCTTTGGCGCTCCATACAGAGCATCAAGAGTTTTCTCATGCGTGTACATGTACTGTACGTGACCTGAATCTAACATGCATCCAATGAAACATTTGTAAGCATTTGCAGTAGGTACTGAAAAAAGTCATGTGCAGTTTGAAGCTAATGTCTTTGTCCAATATCAATGACATAATTCTTATGAACCTTTTCTAATGAATTGTTCGTTGTATTATTTAATTTGGTTTGGTAATAAATGTATATGTACTCAAAAGATAAGTCCTGTAAGGTTTTTACATTTAGAGGGAAAAATACATGTAGTTGTCACAGACATAAAAAAATAGTGGACAGACATTTGCAATCCCTAAAATCAAATCTTACATGTAGTTTCGTTGTGTCATAGAACAAAACATAAATTTGATGTAAACTATCACAGTAAAACTTTTCTCAGGAAAATATTTGTTGAAGCTATTTTCTCAAGGAGTGGCAAAGTTAGCCTGTTTCACGTTAGCCACTGTACATGACAGACACCATGACGTATGTTATTCCTTAATTATCTCTCATTAAAGTTTTGTTTAGGATAACTGAAAGAAACAAAAAGCCATAGATTTGGACACATTTCTCAAATGTTATACATGTACCTGTAGTACCCATATTTTAACAGATGGATTGCTTTTCTCCATGACAGTGGTATTTTAGATACCTGAAAAACATGAGCTGACACAGTTGTGTACATGTCCCACCAGAACCCCTAAAAAAAGATGGACATTTTCATCAAAATCCTGATTATTTTAACAATGAGCAACCAAATCCTATGTAACTGTGTAAGCTACATGTAAATCACTACAGTTATAAAAACATCGATAAAATTGTTAAAATTCATTTCTTAACTCTCAACACTGTAAAGAAAGAGATGATTTTGGTCATGTGCAAATGTGTCTTTTAGTGTGGACAGACCCAATTGTATAAATGCAACATTATTTTAATTTTGATTATGCAGGTCCTCCTAACACTCCTGTGATAACAGGGAGCCAACAAGCTGTTGAGAACACTCCAACTTCTCTAATTTGCAGAGCTGACATGGGATATCCAGAAACCTGGAATCTGACATGGTCCTATGGAGACTTGAGTGTAACTGGGCTGACAACAAACTCAGCTCATAATAATCGCTTCAACTTCTCGACCACATTGGCCATTTCCAGCAGGATTTTTAATGGAAAGGTGATCAACTGTACTGCAGAAAGAGGTTCCTGGAAGTCAGGTGTAGGGCAGACATCTGGTGCTGTTAGTGTTAAGTGTAAGTAAAGCGCATGCCAACACATGTTCTTTCTATCATGTTTGGTTTGTTTGTGCTTTGAACTTGAAATTTGTTTCTTTCTTGTTTGATAAATCTACAGTAGGTTCGATTCGTTGTAGGTGTTCCCTTGGAAAAGATACACATACAAGCATGTGTATGCAGAGATCATTTTCCATAAATTAAAATGTGCCATCATAGCTCTAGTTTTACATGTACACACACATAACGCTCATTGTTATGAGTTTTTTTATGTCTGTATGGTGTACATATACATTATTGTTTCTTTTTGTTTGAATTTAAAAACTTTAAATGTTTGAATTTTTTTATAATTCATTGTGCCACCTGTAACTGATACCGGTAGTTACTAAAGATAAAGAAATGTACAACACATTTGGTCAGTATGTGGTAAAGTTTGATTAAGTTTATAAGTTCGTGTAATTAATTACTTGTACACTTGTCATGCCGGTACTTAGGTAAGGGTATGATGAAGATACAAAAAACTGTATTGTTAAGATTGCAGCAGAGTACATGTAGTTCAAAGAAGTACATGTACAATGTATTTTTGTTGCATTTTAAGTTGACTTCTATATTTTTGCTAGTTCATACATTATTTTCCTGTGATTCCTTACTTGTACCTTTTAGTCTGTGCCAGGAATATAAGCGTGAGTTGCCCAGCGGACGTGACAGCAGGGAATGAAGTATCTCTGACATGCCTGACCTCAGAGAGTAGCAATCCAGCAACCACACTAACCTGGTACAATAATAGTGAAAGTGTAACCAGCCCCATTGATCAAGAAGAAAGCCCAGGTGCTTTTGGAGGAAAAACATCTGAATCGACCTACAGAATCAATGTTTTGACCAAATATCACAATCAGAATCAGTTCAGATGCTGCGCTAATAATAGTGCAGAGTTATCGTGTGCTGAAGATTTGTGTCACGCATGCACCCTGAATGTGAAATGTAAGTGAGAATTTCATTTTCATTCAAATTTGGAACATTTTTAATTCAGTCCTACAGTCCCCCCCGAAATCCAATATGGCAGTCTGGCAAGTACATGTATTTTCATGTAGTAGCTACATGGATGTACTAAATGTTATATATACAGTTTTGCAGTTCTACATTGTACATCTACATGTACTGGTATTTCCATGCCACTGCATGCATGACATAATGCCTCATGACTTTCTGAAACTATGTATAACACACTTAGAGTGAAATTTTGGACTACACGGATAAAGCCATGACAGTAAGTGTTCCTGAAAGAGAGGTCAAAACTTGATATAAAATCAGATCAGCTTGTATGTGTACATGTATGTGCAGTTTTCGCATGGTGATGGGCTTCATGAAAGAGAAATGATGCACATGTACACGTACAAATGAATAGCGATTGATACTATCCAACCACACAAAAACCATGGATTGGGATCACTGTGAATTTACTTGTACTGAATATGAAATCTTGCAGTTACCTATCCATGCCATCCTTAATACATGTACATATAGGCACTTAAAACATGAGCTGTACACAGTATGCAGTTGTTGACTCCCTGTAATCTCTAAGCATCTTTTTCACTCGCCAGATGCTCCTGAATTCACCTCCTTGACACAGTCTCCAAACAACCCTGTTACTGAAGGCAGTAATGTCATCCTGACTTGCACCGTAGATGCCAATCCTATGCCCGGTGATATCACATGGGAGAAACAAGGATCCAATCGGGCATATAACTCAGAGTACAATGCTGGCACCAGTACACTGACTCTGAGTAGTATCACAAGGGAGCGGTCTGGGTACTACACATGTAAAGCAAACAATGAAATACCCACAGGCAACCCTGCCCACATGGTCAATGATGTGGTTTCATCTCCACTCACTGTTATAGTGCATTGTAAGTCCACCTTACTATAAACATACACTATCAAATTTAGTTGTTGTTCATGTATGAATAGTAGAACAGTGAGATTCAGTGAAACGGCTGAGCTAAGCTAATAATGGCCAGTTTACATGTGTACCTGCAAAAAGCAGCTCCTTGCCATAGATCTACTGTATAGTCAGTCTGTGGAAGGATGTAAACATGTGGCTGTAAATGATCATTTTGTTTGTAGTCACCAGTTAGAGCCACTCCATATTTGAAGAGATCCAGGAAATATCAAATCACACAAAAGAACCGTAAGTTACATACATTCTGACACCATCAAATATGAATGAAACTTGTGAAATTTAAAAAATTTGTTCATGAATTGTATTCCTTCATAATTTTATTCTCCCACATGTGGACGTTAAGACAGGTCATTCTTAATAAAAATTAATGGTAGTTTTGCTTGGTTTACGACTGGGAATTTGTATTGCCAAGATTTCTCATCTGTCGGGTAGTGGGCAGCCTCATCTACTGGCACATGTAAAAATTATGCCAATGGGAACGAGGTTGGAGGAAAGAATAGTTGTAATTTTCAACTTTGTTAATCCCTTTTATTTTTGCTGTGTGAATTATCTTTATGTTCTGTCCTCATTTAGTTTCTTGCCTTCCCTCTTGTGATTTTAGGCATGATAGTACCGGTACATTATATACATGATATATGCAATACCCTACAGTAGAATTACAATTGTAGCTGTGAATTTTGGAATTCATACCCACATCAATACTGGTCATAACGCCATTGAAATTTTTTGGCAATATTTTTAATGAAAAAGGTCGCCATTATAGCGTCTTTCTCTGTTGAGCGTGTCATGCTACAGTGTGTTCAATAAACTGTTCAAGCTATCTCAGTACATGATATTTATGCTGCCTTGTTTTGTGGAATTTCTTGCTCACTCAGATGAAGTCAATATCACCAATAAAGGAATGACTGAGCAAGGTGGTAAAGATGGAGGTAGCGCTTCCTTAACCTGCATCGCCAAAGGCAACCCTAGGCCAACTATGCAGTGGTATGGTCTAAACAACACAGTGATAACTAGTGAGACAGACACGGCTAAGTTCATGGTGGTGAATGTCACAACAGGAGGAGATGGTGTGTACGGATTCCAAGTGACCAGCACTCTGACCATCAACAATATTGATTCTGACATAGACTTTGGGACCTACACCTGCATCAGCACAAATGGAATAGGAGAGGAAGACATGCTTAAGGTCAATCTCACTGGAACAAGTGAGTCAGATTCTATGCAATATGATAGGAAGCCTTCCTCCATTTCTGTTACGTTTTCGCCTTTGAACAAAAGTTATTTTTTCCTTCCCTCAATGGCTTATTCAGTATTTTTGAAAATTAAGGTCCAACAATGTTCATTCAGAAAATATTTCTGAACGGATCTGAAATCTTAAAAAAGAGATGCCAATTCTACATGAACGTTCATCAAAAAAAGAAGGCTTGGGGATTTTAGAATATTTTCACCATTGCCCAATCTTCCTTTTGCACGTTTGACTCTTCCGCGCAGTGGATATTCTTCCCAAAGTAAACCAGTCTGTAATAACTTCCTGAAAGTTACTTCAGTATGCCATTATAATTACAACTTTAAATACTGATTTGTTTTCATAAAGTTTTTTTTTTTTAATCTTCATAATGCACACCTTCTCTTCAATTACATCTCACAAAGTGTATACATTTCAGTATATCTTCAACTATGTGTCACGTGTACGCTGATACCAGTTCAAGTCTTTTACTCCCCCTCCTTGCCTTTTTGTTTTTTTATTCTTTCCAAGGGGCGAAGTACCCCCTTTGTACCCTCCTGATGCCCACAGACAAAAGTAATAAAGTTTCATAAAAAGTTAAAGATATTCTTGTACCAGAATTGTACAGAAAGTAAACTTCTATAAATCAAACTTTATTGTTTTCCTTTTTGACTTAAAAGAGACGTGCATATCAGCTTTCATAAATGTTGCCAGGCAAACCTTTAAACATTGCTACTTTGAAGCAACATAGTTGTACATGTATGTAAATTCAAAGTTGTAATCCTGTTTGTATGTAGGAAGACCAGACAAGCCTATCAGAGTTATGATAACTGGTCAGACGGCAGAGTCTCTGACAGTGACATGGACAGCAGGGTATGATGGTGGTGAGGAACAATCATTCCGTGTTAGCTACTTGAAGGTGTCAGATTCCACAGAGACAGGTGTTGGTGAGAGTGTGACAGGTGGGAAGACTACATACACAGTGACAGGTCTGGAGGACAACACGGAGTATGAGATCAGGGTGTATGCCAGGAATGCCATCGGTGAAAATACTGACTATGCCAAAGTAGTGGGACACACATTGCGTAAGTATCACCTTTCAGTCTAATCATTCATTTTTCCATGTAGAATTGGAAATTTACTTGTGGTTCTTTTATCCTAATTTTAAATGCTTGTTGAGGCTTTGGAAGTTTTCAACTTTCTTGGGAGCTTTTGAGTTTCATCATTTAGTATTAGCTTTCATCTCTTGAGAGGTTGACTGTCTTAACAGGGAGACTTTTTTGTAGACTTACCGTATCTGAAATAACTGAATACAACTCTTTTCATTTGTGTTTTTGATGTCCATCCAGTATTGCATTTAGCACAGATTACAGTAGGAATGTGAGGGACAGTGAAGAAATATTCAGTTTAGAGGTGGGAAGGAAAATTGAAAATATATAAAAATACAAATGAGGAAAGTCAGTTCCATGCTTCTTGTGCCTGTCAGATGGAGTTCAGATAAAGTATGGTGAGAAGAAATGTACACTGTACGCATAGGACAGTTTATGTACATGTTCATCGTGTGGTAGATACCAGTACATATACATGTACATACATTTATATGTACAAACATACATGTAGGTAACTGCATACTATACATGTACATTATCAAATTTATGTTCATCATCTACATGTAAAAACAAAATGTTTACATGTACATGTATAGTATTTTATAGCTTCAAATATCTCTACACATACATAGGAAGAATTCTACAGAATTGAAACATTGAACTTGGCGATAAATACATGTACATGTAATACAACCCGAGTGAAGCATGTGTAGACAAATTTAAGTACTGTTTTGTACACATTTTAGGAATTGCAGTTGTCAGAACATGAAATATTAATCCTTATTCAGTTACAAAGCTTTTCATGCCATAACTGTGAACACTCTGTTCTCTTGGGGGGGGGCTGGGGATTACACACACGTACCAGTACGTGCGCATGTACAGCACTGGTACATGTACCTCTAAATTACTTGTACGAGTACCTACATTGTAAATGTACTGCGGGTGTGTAATGTATGGTACATGTTGTACATGTACTGTGTGGATACCAGTGCATTGTACACATACTTTCTGGTATACGCATGTACCATTCAGTGGAAATACAGGTATCCCAATGCTGGTGAAACCATGACCTTCATTCTTATATGTAGTACTGGTAATTATTGAGGTTGAAACTTACCACATGTATGTGGGCATTGCCAGTTACTGGTACATGTAATTCTTCCTCACTTAGGTTTATTTGAGAAATTACTTCCTGCCAGTTGCCAAGGTCAGAATTAAACTATAATATATGCAATCATGGATACATGCACATGTACACCTGTGTGCATGTACCTCAGTTTTTCAATTTGAATCCTATTACAGATTCCTGGTACATCTACATGTACATGTAGAATGGTGTATACATGTACTGAACCTTGTTAATGAGAGCATTCTTATGTCCTTTTTTGCATACTTCCAGACCCCTAAAAATTGGATTACATGTACATGTAATATGATTTTGTAGGTGTATATATACCGTACATGTACCGGTACATTTTTTTAATAAGTACTGGTACATGTACCATAAGAACACCTGTACACATACATGTACATGTACTGTTCATGTACATGGGTTTCCCACGTACACTTGATTCTCACTACATTTTTGAAAGCATCAGATGTCATATTGGAGAAACAAAATATTTTGCACCTAGGGAAGTCCTGATCCAGGGGAAAAAAGAATCAACACTTGTCTGAAGCTCCATTACCATGTACCGGTACGGTACCAGTACATGACAATGTAATAGTAGTCTCAGTTTGATGGCCAAACAAAATGAAACTAACTGATATCTAGAGAAAACAGGAGAAAAAAGCCAAGTTTCAAAAACAAGGGGGGGGGCTTCTTTTTCCACAAATTTCTATTAATTAGTTGTTTATCAGCTGTGCACTGAGCTGCTACAGCGTGATCATAGCACATAGTAATTTCATCAAATGGACTGGCAATAACTTAACATTTAAAAGCTTGGAATTTTCCTGCCTGTAATGGTTGAACTTGAAAGTAATGTGCAGGTACTTTGGTGATTATAATGGTATATGTAAGTTTCCACTACAGCTGAAGAAGGAAACAGGAAACCAAATTTTTTCCCCGTGACTGCCAAAATCATAGAATTCCCCTGACTGTGAGGCCTGCCTTTTGTTGATTATTTACCATTTGTTGCTCACCGTGGGAACCAGTATTTCCTCTTTCCATAACAGTTCCAAAATTTGTGACTTCAATCTAGATTTAATTCTCATTTTTTTTTTTTTTCAGAAAAAATGTGCATTGTTTACTTGAGTACCTGTAGTATGGCTGATTCACAAATAGTGAGCCTCCAAGATTATGCAACGCGTTGACCAATCATGGTTTGCAAAATTTGCAGACAGATTTCAGGCATCGTGTTTAGCCAACTCATTGCGAACTCTTGGAAGAGCACTAGTTTTTAATAGCCTGTATTGTTTAACTGGTGCTGGCATTTGTCTTTTCAAAATTCTTTCATTTGAAAGACATTAATGGAAAAAAAATTTCTATGAAAATCAAAGACAGAACATTTTGAAGAATGACAGGTAAAAATTGATAATCAAAACACCCTTGGTGCACAACGCGTCCAGAAAACAACTTCTGTGTTGGTCATGGCCTCTCTTTGGTCTAGGTTTTAAGTCTAGCATGTAAGTAAACAAACACAATGCTTGGCTGCATGCAACTTCATTGAAGGTACAAAACGTGGCATTTTGAGGGAAAATCCCATTCATTTTTAATTCAAGGACTTCAAGGGTTGTACACAATTGCAGGCTGTCACTATATGATAAATGCACTGGCACAAGGAAGTTCATGTACATGCAGAACCTTTTGAAATATTCTTGGCTGTAGGGTAATACACATGTACATCCCGGGAGCACTATTGTAAATTACCTGTATTGTTTTACTGGTGTTGTCATTTGTCTTTTCAAAATTCTTTCATTTGAAAGTTATAAATGGAAAGAAAATTGCTACCGAAATCAAAGAAAGAAAATTTTAGATGATGAATTAAAAATAATCGAAAAGCCCTCGGTGCAGAACACTTCCAGAAAACAACTTCTGTGGAGGTCATGGCCTCCCCTGAAGTCCAGGTTCAAAGTCTGGCGTGTGTGTAAACAAACACTTTGCTTTCAAAATGAAGGTACACAATACAGCATTTTGAGGGAAAATCCCATTCATTTTTAATTCAAGGACTTCGAAGGTGGTACACAATTACAGGCTGTCACTATTGTTTGGTTAACATGATAAATGCACTGGCACAAGGAAGTTCATGTAGAACCTTTTGAAATATTCTTGGCTGTAGGTTACACATCCATGAAAAAATTCTTCATTGTCATGTACTGGTACCGTACCAGTATGTGGTAATGGAGCTTCAGACAAGTGCATTAGCACCATTATCACCAACATGTACCGTACATGTTCCTATACCTTCATGTACATTTACAGTACAAGTTGTGTTGGATAGCTCAGTCATACAGTGCCCCCACCATTTACATGTACTGGGGTTACTGGTTCAAGTCCCACCCCAGTCGTTTTTTGGGGCTCAAACTTTTAAGATTTCAAAATACTACAGGTATGTCTCTTGATTAAAGTTCTTTTGAAACTCCCATCTGTCCTGAGCTGAAGTGCAACCCTCACTGGCAAAAAGAAAGACAGATAAAACAAAGTTTTGCAATCAGGTTTCAGCACACGTACGGCGTGCATGCAAAGACCATTCCAGACTTAATTCATTTCGCATACTGAGCATGCTCCATGTCAAATGTGCATTAACTTGTCCGCTTATGCAGTGAGTACGTACAAAACGACTGTCAATTTCATTTCAAAACAAACCCACTTTTGTTCCTGATGGAAGTGGTTAGAGTTAGTGTGCGTGACTTACATGTGCATTATAATACTATAATACCAGTACATATTATACATGTACAGTAGCTGTAGTGCACTGATTACCAGGCCTTGACTTTTTAAAGCTTTTTTATCCACATTGTACATGTATATACATGTAGATACTAATACGGCAGGAGTTGTCATCAGCCCACTGGACATTGTTTAGAAAAACTTCACATAACTTTGACTGGCTTTTTAAGTGTATTTTTTTATTACAGCACAGTCATGCTGCCAATTTTAAAACTTAAAGTAGATGATTCAAAATTGTTGCAATAAAATAAGAAATACATTTACACCGGTACGTTCAAATTCATGACATTTGTAATCTTTCATTTTATTTATCTTTATGAAGAAGACTTACATGTATGACACTTTCAAACAGGAAGGTGTTTGTGTGCTAGCCCAATGGTCAAGTTAAAGAATGTCCCCACCTACACATGTACACCTGTTATTTGTGCTGAGGTTGAGGCCTGACCATACCGGTACATGGACATACATACATGTACATGTACATGTATTTTGCATGCACAATCTCTTTTGAGGGCAGTGTACATGTACATGTATACTATACATAATACATACATACATTCAGTAGCACATTTATGTGGATGCGAGTGTTTTTCCATCGCATGAATTAACGGCAAAAATTCTTAAAACGAACATACAGTACATGTACATGTAACTCACAGAATGGAAATTGGAATTGTGTATGGTACATACGCTGTTATACTATGTACCTGTATACTGTTGTATGGAAAGATGTAGGGGAGTGTTAATTGAAGCATTTTATCTTTCAATTGCTACATGTGCCTGTCGCATTACATGTACAATGGAAATAAAATAGAGAAAATTAACTCAGTTTTATATTCTGTGATTTGTTTTTTGCAGCAAAACCTCCAGGCTCAGATGCAGGTATCAGTAAGTCCTCACTGGTTTTATTTTTACATATACTGTCCTACGCATTTCACAAATACAGCAGTTAGTCCACAGTTCATGATGACCGTGTGTAACTTACGCTGTATGTACACTGTACATGTACATATGCCACTGGCAAAGTAGACTCACTACTTGTATGTAGATGAGAACAGGATGAAACAACGCACATGTGGCCTGTGCCTTCCATATCTGAGTGTGTTAGTTACACTCGCCAGGTGAGAAAACGAACATGTAGCAGCTTCCAGCATGTATTTACAGCCTGATATAAAGTTTGGGTAATAATAATATTTTGTTTTATACATGTAACTGTGGAATCCTGATGGATTCTGCAGTGTTCTTAACCACTTACTGCCAGGTGAGTTGAAAAATGCAGTGCACGCATACAGGCTTTTTCAAGATTTTCAATTTTCAAAATTCTTCAAAAATTCATCATTTCATTTAACGGACGTTTAAACATAAAGGAAGGACTCTTTGGGCACTACTCTAAGTCGACAGGCGGCCTTCATTGACACCCAAGTTTTTCAGCCAGGCCTGCAGCCTTGTAAAAAGAGCCCAGATTGTGCAGCCTTTTGTAAGATTCTTTTGTTCCCGAAACCGGGAAAAGTGCTCTGCTGACCACTTCTCAATAGGGGCCAGATTAGCGTGCGATAGTGCTGTGTGGCTCATCGCTGCGATGGTGGAGAGCTTTTGTCTCTGGTGGTTATCCGCTTGCTCTAAATGCCCCAAACTGTGGTATACGGTTTCAAAACAAGGCTGGATTATCTCCACTATTGGGAGTGAAAATATGTCGGTAATTCCCAGCAGCCTGGTCTTTTGTGTCAAGCACAGTCTTTTGTTACAAGACCCAACTCTTTTGTCCAGTTTCGGGCTCCCTGGCTTCATGTGTAAAGCCTAAGTACTCCAAAACAGGTTGCCCGTCAGGAAGAAGTTAAAAAAGGTCAAAAATAAATTTCATGGTATTACATGCAACAAGTCTAACAAATAAAGAGAGGTTTTCAGCTGGATCAGTTCAGATAAGTTGTACTGAATTAAAGAGTTTAATTGGTTAATGTTGGTGCACTCTGTTGACATTATTTAATAACCAGGGATCACTGTGGAGTACAACACTGATGATGGGACTGTGAAGGTGACAGGGCTGAAGATAGAGAATAGTTGCATCCAGCTGGAAGTCAAGTATGAGGGCAACGACACCTGGCAGGAATGTGGAAAGTGTATTGACTCAGATCAGACAGTGACACTCTCTGAATGGTGTGCAGTATCACAGACGAGAAGACGAAGAGCTGTAGGTGACATTGAAGATGTCCGCGCTAAACTCTGCATCGGTGGTTTGTGTAGCAAGGCAGCGCCTGCTGAACAAGGTAAATGTATACATGTAGCCACTGCAAGTCTCACTCTTGCCTTAGACTCCTAGAAATGCGAGGCTTGCACTGTGGTTAGGGTTTGTGCGTTCTGATTGTAAGGTCTGGGGCCAAAATCCAGGTTCTAGTGCAATACTGCGAACTTATAGATGGAATACCTCATCCTTACTAGGCTTCCTACACCTATGAGTGTGACAAATTTGTGTACAAATCGGTGAAGGCAGTGCCAGATATGCCTTGAAATTACATGTAGCTGCCAAAATTGGTCTTAAGATTTGATCAGTGAAAGCAGCTCAGTACAAAGGGAGTCCGCTAGTTTGGTACGTTAGCTACATTTCAAAGTGTTCTGGCTGAAGGGGAAATGTTAAGGATTTCACTTACTGATGCGTGCCAGACAATAAGCTCTGATGGCATCTGCAAAATATATGCTTAGCGTGCTTTACAATCCATTGAATGCAAGTTATTGAATAATTCTCAATCACTGTCAATAGTCTTCTTTAGGTAAACTCCTGATTATCCCATCTTATTAATCACATTGAAATGTACCTGGACTGGTAGCTAATGGTCCAAACCAGCGGGCTATCTGCTGAGGGGGCAACTTGGTCAGGAGGCGACTTTGATGGGGTGGGGTGGGTGGAATTGGCAAGGGGTCAACTCAGCTAGGAAATGACTTGGTCAGAGGCGAGTCGGCAAGGGGGCTAGATGAGAAGGGGTAAGCTAGTCGGTCAGGGGGGTGAGTCAGTAAGGGGCGAGTAGGGGGGGAGGGTGAGTTGACCTGATTCTCTGTAAACGTTGCTCCTGTCAGTTCAGGGTAAGACCATGAATGTGCTTCTGTACATGTGTGTAAAGATAGTATTGTGAATTGACATTCTGACCGGTTTTTTTTTTGCTCTGGGAGAAAAAAGCTGATCTTTGGTCTGTCTAAATTGATTGGCTTCAAGTAACCTGCATGTCTATGGGAAATGCCTGCAGTCCCAAGCAAGTGCTCCATATTCACACAAATAATTTCCTATTACCTGTATCCTTAGCGTTGCACAAGAAGCAGCATCAACATTGAAATGGTCCGATATTTTTATTCCATTCCTATTTAGTGAAGAACCCACCACCAGTGACTTCACCTGATAACAGAGGCATCATTGTCGGAGCTGTTGTGGGAGGGGTGGTACTTCTTGCCATCATTATTGCTCTAGCTACCTACCTTGTCAGAATGTCACCCGCGGACCAAAAAAGCAGAAGAAAGAAAACGACAGGTACTCGTACATTGTAAATCATCTTGTTTTATGCCTTCTTGCAAACCTTGTGGTTTTTATTACAGTATGTTCACACATGCATGTAAATACATAATATTCATATCAGTGCAGTGCAGGTGTCATGAAAACTGTAGCGATACAAGCCACCTGGTTGCCAGCTTCAGGCATTAAGGGGGCTACAGTAGCTGGGCGGGGTGGGGCACATCACAAGAGCAAAATATACTTTTAATGCTATGGTTTTTACTGGGGAGGGGCAGCTTCACGACGGGGGGATCCTTGGCAACGGACCTGGATACAAGACATTTGCAAAGGGTGGTCTCAGTACATGCAGGGTATGGATTAGTGCAGTTTTCATAAATGTGACCAACCATCCCAAAACCATGCTGAAGTTGTTAGTTGCGATGTTGGACAATGCCTCTCCTTCAGCTTTTTTTACACTTTTGAAGTGATCCATGTTAAATCAAAATTCTGTCTGCAGTAAGCTTCTTATGGGTAGCGACAGCTGTAAAACTGCCATGAAAATCTGAACCGTGGAAGTTCCACTATTTTAGGGTTATGAAGTTACCTACTTCAGCCTGGTTTTGGGATGGCAGGTCACAAATTTTGGGAGAGAAATGTCTGGTCCTTTGTGGATCATGGGAAGCATGCCGTCAGCCATGAGCAATTCATGAATTATCAACTATCAAAGAGTGCATGTACGTGTATGTACATGTACGTGTACTTAGCTAAACTGAAATGCAAGTTCTTAATGAAACTTGACTTCAACTTAATTCTACTTCAGGTAATTATGGTTTGAGTCCCAAGTGGTTTTACCATGTAGTCTAGGCATATCTCTCTATGAAACATTCTCTCTGTGTTTTTCCCTCCAAACATAAAACTAATGAAGCATTCATTGTCGTCTTAATTGTTGATACATGTATTTGCTCTCAAAACACAATGCTGGTCAGTTTCCCCTGATAGCACTGATAGGAATATGTTTTGTCATTTATTTTGATGGCTGTTGGCATACATGTAGTCTTCTCAAGTGTTACTTACTGATGAATATTCTGTTTGCATGACATCCTTGAGCCGTCTGGTTATACGTACAGCACCTTGGAATATTTACCTTTTTTACCTTTTTACCCTTTTTACAAGTGAAGCAGTTGCTAATAAGTTTCCAGGTTGGTTTTATTTACAAGCATTAGGGTTTGCGTTATATTTTTTTAAAAATTCCCATGTGCACTGGTACATTCATAACCAGTAAAGAAAGGAAAAAACACATTGCTAGTTTATATTGACCAGGAACAGGAATTTGGCTTTTCAAGGTATTTATTTTTTAAAATGTCGAGTTTTGAAACCATTGTAATGCACTTGACTGTCAGAGTTTTCTGGAATGATACTGAGAGTTGTGATAATTGGTGTTATTAAAAAATAAAACCCTATTTCATATTCATGTGTCCTTCAAAAGGTGAAACCACTGTTCAGGTTGTGTAATGTGCAAATACTCGGTGCTGGTACTGGCCACGTCAAACTTTCCTGAAAGTTCTGTGCTCTTCTCTTCCTTACATGTAGCTTGAGTTATAAAAAATTTGGCGATGTTTCAGCACTTTTTTCATAATGATGGAAAAAGGATTGTTATCCGTATGTTTGAAAGCTACTGAGGAAAATGTAGTTTTTCAGAATACATGTAGTCTTGATTGTCGTAGAATTAACAGTAGGTTGCACCTGTAACTCTATTATCTTTGGAGGCTTGGAGGAAGAGGGTGTACACTCTATGCAAATTACTGTAGCCTTCAAAAATCCGCACATGCTGTACATGTACCGTAATTCGAATGCAGAAAGTAAATTTGACTTCTTGTGGTATTAGTCAGTTGAAATTAAAAGAGGCGTACATACACATTAAATTTGTTATCATGTCGTTGACACTGGGACTTGCCCCTATTGTTCTTCATGCATGAGAAAATCCATTCACTTATGTGGAGATTGTAATGGATCTGAGACTGGAATCATTTCCTCGACAAGATTCAAATCTAAGTTCATGTCCAAATTACTTGGCTGGGGCCTGAGATTACGGTCTCAAGCCACGGTCAAGTAACATGACATACTGTACATGTACTACATGTAGGCTTGGGTCTGAGATTACGGTATGCATGAGTCTATGGCAGGAGCCTCGGCAGTTTCCACAGAGTTGCTGTAATCTCAAACCACAGTCAAGTGTTTTGAACACTGCCTATCATGTTTGCAACTTTTTTAAAAAGTTGGTTTTTACTGATAATTCCCCAAGAAGTCCTAGAGAAAAAATGTTCTCCAAGATTTGTAAGACATTTATGAGTAATTGGTGGGGGTGGTTTGTATCATGACATAC